GTCGGTTGTGAAGGGCAGACGGTCCCCATCCGCCCCTATTGAGGCCACAGGGACGCCCGTGTGTCGATCGCTGCTGCCAAAGATAACGCCGCCAACCAGGGAGTCGGCGCCACTGGAAGAAGAGCCCTCCCCCTCGGCCTCGCCTTCGACCAGGCGGTCGACACTGTCCTCGTCATCTCGCGGGTCCAGGACATAGTTCTCGACCTCCCTCAGAAGTGGGTGCTGACCGTAGAATGTGAGGAAGACTCGGCGGCTAGCGTTGGGTCTGGCCTCACGAGAGGCACGAATGATGACCACCCTCGACGCTTAATCCCTTTAGATGCCATTACTGTAAAGGAAAAATCTAAGGTCAGTTCTTATAAGTCGAGAGGGGAAGGGAAGACAGTTCGGCGCTTAAAGCTCAAAATGTTTAGTCGGTTAAAGTTGAAAAGTTAAAGCAATGACGGTTCGAGCCTAGGCATGAACTAACCAGAGACTACTCAAACAAAGCAACGACCATTCAAACTAACCCAGAATGCCAAACAGAAATCCAGACTCACTCAAAACTCCTATAGCTAGTCCAGAACATGGCAGATAATGTCAAAATCAGGTTCCAACATCCCCTGTCACGTCATTCCCAACCATTCCCACCACTTAGAAAATAATCTACCACTATTCCAGGCACGATAAACACATGATAAGTGGAAAGGAAGTTTGAGGAATGCTTACCAGGGAATCAGGAGTGGAAGAGGTACACGAGCTCTTGAGATAAATGTTGCTGGAGATCTGCGAAATGGCAAGAAGGAAGTAAGTGATCCTGGAGAGATTTTTACAGAGTTTCGGCTGCTTCAAGATGGTTTCGAATGATTCATACACGAAGAGACCATTTATATTAATTAAAGGCCCTCGACCCCCAGCCGTTCGATCAGGTACGTACGCATCTAACGATGGAAGCACAAGAGCTTGATCTGACAGCTAGGGGAAGGGCAGGAAGCTAAGGAGTCACGATCCAGTGGCTTAGGTTCATCCATTTAAATAGAAGGCAGCATGACGATTGAACAGACGCGGCGTTTACGCTTGTCGAGGGGTGCCGCAGTACCAGGGCCATTATTGCGAAGAAGGTTCGTAGTAAGGCTCCCGCACCCAAAGTAAACAAAAGGAGAACCAGAGCAAACCCCAAACCTAGCTCGAGGTAGTCCGAAGAAAAGCCTCGACCTGGGGGCAGCTGTTGTGTGGGAAAATTCACATTGACACGTCAGACAACGATTATGCCACATGTGGCCCTATGCCTGCCACGTCACTTAGCTCTCGACGCCCGAGCCTCATTGGTCTCTTCCGTATGGTATGAGAGTCGAGTGCATAAGGGGATTGAGACCGTCGACCCTATACATAGTCGACGCCTACGAGACCAGTTCGTGTAAAATAACGTGATAGAGTCGACCGTGAGAGAGGCTACCCGTGGCAAATTTAGGAATAGGCACAGAGGGCTGAGCGTAAGCAACTGGACCCATTTTTCAAGGAAGACTCCTGAAGTGATCGGCGGAATATCCCAAGGTTACGTCTGGGTTTGGAGAAGGTCAGTTGCACATGAAATGATTACGAGCCCTTAAAACCGCCTGGAACGGATCACTAGCTATTACAGGAGATCTACAAAGCTGTAATGGGGGGACAAATTGAATGAGTGAAAAGTACAAAAGGTGTTAATAGGCTACGGTCTAGACAAATGAGGCCATAGGCCATTCAAGTGGATGGACCCCCTGGAAGACATGGTTAAATGGTCCAAACCGCCTACCCTTGGGCAAAGCTCATGTAATATCTGCTATAAAAGGGGCAAAGGCCCCGTGAGAGAGGGGGATCCTTTTTCGTGTAATTTGTAAGAACCAAAACAAGAGAAATATAATACAGTGGATGTAACTCTGTTTGAGAATGGTGAACCATTATAAAACCTCTTCGTCTTTATTTTCATAACCGCTATAACGGTTTCTTCACAGTACACCAATACAAACTTTAGCAAATCCAGTAAAATTACAAGTTTCAAATCGGTAAACCAACGGGCTATCGCGGGGTGATCCGGTCAGGTCTTGTTGACGAAATTCGACCGTCAACAGGTATGATACGTGGACCCAAATCACGTTTCGGGGATCTTCAAGTGAGCCCTGGTTTGGAAGGCCAAGGAACGCAATTAGGCCCATATTACTCACTTGAGATGTTTCGAGCCTATAAGAAATTAGAATAATAAGGGTTGTGGAGGAAATAAACCAAAATCCTATCCAATTCCTTTAGCCCAAGTCGTAGAAAATTATGTGAGCCTAATCAGCCCAATAAATACTAAGGAATATACTTTGTCTTCTTCCCCCTAGAAAAACGTTAAAGTTGGCAACTCAAAACCATTTTATTAACCATTTTAGCACTCTTTTCCCTACCAAAGTGCTGACCATGTCCAACTCATCCAAAACAATCACCTGACATGTTAGACCAACAAGAGCCTTTAATTGGATGCTCCAAAACCCCATTATTCACAACTTAGAAAAATCCTTCCCTTTGCAAATAAAAAAAGCTAGGTTAAACCTCACCTACGCAACAGAATGCCAGCTCATCTAAGACCAAGAATTCAAACTACAATGGAGGGAAAATTTCCCTCCTTTTCAAGTCACATCCTCAGTGTATAAATACCAGCTCATTTGCTCCTCAAATCATGACATTTAATCCCAATCTAATTTATCTCAGAGCAAAAACAAAGCAAAGCTCTCCCACTTGAGAAAATCCTTTTCTTCTCCATGGTTTCGGCGAAGTTCCTCCGGGTTGGCGCTCCCGGAAGTTCTTCCCCACCTAGAACATCAGTATCTTAAACCTCTCCCCATCACAACCACCAAAAAACACAATAACCACGACCACCGGATGTGCTCAATCTCCATAGTTTTTGGCGGAGATTCTCTATTATTCATTTCTTAGTTCTCTACCCGTTAGAAGTAATAAGTCTCCTCAATCTCTCAAAGCATGCCCATCAATCTTTCCCCAGCTTAAAACTAACATTATAAACAGCCATGAATGATTTCATCTCGTCTAGCCGATCTTCACCTTCAATGACGGAACTGTCCTACCGGACGCAGAATACACAAGGCTACCAAAACTTCACAATCATTTATCTCAGCCCCATAACATCTCTACATCATCAAAAGCATTCGGAAAACCTCCTCCACAAACTAGTTGCGTTCCTCTCCCACACAATTGACTTACTTGGAGATCCTCCTCATTAAAGTCTACACATTTACGGAGTCGGAATCGCAACGGATATCACCCTCGGAACCGCCTTCCTCGAGGTCACTCGGGTCTAGCCCAACCCAACCGGGGCCAACATCGTCGACCAAAAAGATGACCCTTTCGAGCACGCACAACTCCGAAATCTACAAACGGCGACTTGAAGGCCTCTATTTGTTTATCTGTCAGGTGCCCACCAACCACCGGACTCGCCTTCATAACTGACAGCAAATCTACTTAGACCGATCGAAAAAGGCCACGAGCGCCGCACCCTCTACATCAGCAGGCCTGTCGTAAAAGAGCCCCAACAAATATCAAGATTGTCCTCAACAATTTGTATAAAACATCATCTTTTACATTAATTAACTCAAAATTTAAACAAACCAAACTTCAAATCTATAGTCTGTAATTAAGTCTAAGATTTTTAAGAAAACAAATGTCAAGGAAAAAAATCTCGAATAAAAAAAAAAAAAAATCAAGTCCATGCCCCCTGTCGTGACTTTACATGGATACATTCTTGACGTTTTTTATGCCTTATATCATGCAAGCAGGGAAAACATTCATAATGCTCTTTAGCGGTAACATGGTTAAGTGGGATTGCCGTGGACCTTGTTCACGAGAGACTTGGGAAATTCCATAGGTCTTGACCACCAATACGATAAGAGCTTCAACCGTATATTCCCCGTTCTTATTATTTCAAAATAATTCTATTTTGCAAATATGTTGCCCCGTTATTGCTTTGTTTGTGGTTTCAATATTGTTGTTTATGTGTTTGTTTTCGTGCTCAATGGTTTTGGTTGTTGTCACTTACTCGTGCATATGGTTGTTGTGATTTTTTTATTTTGGGTACTTGAAAACAACACGTAATTTTTTTTTTTATTGTTATGAAAGTGGCATCCAAATATAAACACGTTTTTAAACAAATTATAATTATTAGCGAAAAGAAAAAACCAAACTAAAATTAAAGATTAAAAAAACCTTTTCTTCTATCTCACGCCAAGAACATAAGCACCCAAAAGATAACATAATAAATAAATAAAATCTCGTGTTTCTCAGCGTTCAACGCTTCGTTTACACAACAATTCGGTCAGACCAACCAAAAAAAAAAAAAAAGAATTATAATGATAAAAAAAATCCTTTTTAATTTGGATTTCCTGTCGTAGAAAAAAAGCAATTTCATTCCGATAACGACCTTCCTAAATCCAAACGGACCAATTAATTTCCAAAAGTTCCAAAACACCAACACGCTCTCGCCGAATAACGCGTCGTCACGTGGAGCCCCCAGAAGTCAGCCGCTTTCTCTAAATTATAGTTCATTTTATTAATTTAAATTTTTAATTTTTAATTTTTATTTAAAAATTTTTAAAAAATATCACATTTAATTTTTTTATTATAATTAATTTTTTAAAAAATATCACATCTTAATTTAAATTTAAATTTAAATAAAAAATATTTAATTTATAAATTAAAATTATATGATTAAAATTATTTTTAATTTACGTGTATTTTATATAAAAAAAATATCAAACGTCTCCAACTCGTTTTGTCAGAACCTCCTAGAAAGTCCCCAGTCCAACGCCTCTCAGTGGTGATTAAAATTATTTTTAATTTACGTGTATTTTATATAAAAAAAATATCAAACGTCTCCAACTCGTTTTGTCAGAACCTCCTAGAAAGTCCCCAGTCCAACGCCTCTCAGTGGTCAGCACCACACATTTATTAAAACTAAAAAAAAAATCAACGTTGAAAGCTCAATTCAAAGCCGGCTGGGAGTGATGACTATTTCAATGGGGTATTCTTCGCTGCGAGGACTTCGAAGAACATGTAAAGAGCCGAAATCTCGTGCTTTTTTATCAGTATCGTCTTCGTCGTTCTCGTTTCTCGATGGCCTCTGGTGGCGGATTGAATCCGCAGTCGGCGGCGGAGAAGGCGGTTTCGGTGATCGGGTTCGGATACGATTTGTGTGCGGATATCCGGTTGTCGGCTTGTAAGCCGGGTCCTTCAGGGTCGAGATTGATAGAACTAGACCCGACGCAGACGAGGGATTTGGTCATCCCCGGTGGGGCCGTCGTCTCTAATGTCTCCACCTCCATCAAGTGCGATAAAGGCGAGCGCACCAGATTCCGCGCCGATGTCCTTTCTTTTAATCAGGTCTTTTTTTTTCTTTTCTTTTCTTTTCTTTTTATTTGTATTAGGATTTTTTTAAAATTATTTTTTGTTGCTGATAAAGGAGTTGTTTATTGGTGTTAGGAATTGGTGCGTTTCCAAATGGGAAATAAAACAAAGAAAATGAATAATAGAGTTGCAATTTTTGCATTTAATAAATTTTTGGTTGTGCATCATTGAGCTTTAAGTGTGGAAAAGTCAGTTTTTTCAGTTGACAATCTTCAGTTTATTTGGTTTGATCATTCTTTTTAGTAGAAAAAGAAGTATTTTTTTTTTCCTTTTATGCGATCATCCTTAATTGCTCTGTGTTTGACTCATATCTTCAGTTTTGGTTTGATCATTCTTTTTAGTAGAAAAAGAAGTATTTTTTTTTTCCTTTTATGCGATCATCCTTAATTGCTCTGTGTTTGACTCATTTGAGAAAGCATTTTCTCCTTCTTAAATTAAAAAGAAGAAGCATAGTGTAACAATCGTCTACTAATGTTCTATATATGATTTTGTTACAGATGTCAGAGCAATTCAATAAGGAACTTTCTTTGTCTGGAAAAATTCCGACCGGGATGTTCAATGCCATGTTTGGGTTCAAGGGCTGCTGGCAGAAGGATGCAGCTCCCACTAAGAGTCTTGCATTTGATGGTTGGTTCATAACTTTGTATAACGTAGAGTTAGAAAGGTCCAACATCACGCTATCCAAGCAAGTTAAAAACGAGGTGCCAAGTTCGTGGGATCCCGCTGCCCTCACCGAGTAAGAGTTCTAAACCAAAGTATGGAGTTTTGTTCATGTAATTTGTTACAATGAATTTGAGGGAATAAGATTAAGAGTTGACAAAGCTCAAAGTAAAATAGTTAAATGAGATTAACTATTAAAACTTTTCAATGAGAAGTGAACCAAAACTTCAATTAGATCCCTTGCTAGTTAGTGAAATGATAAAGGTTATTTAGAAAGTTTATGCCAGAAAGTGTAATATGCATATTTTTTGAACATATTTAGGGCCTGTTCTTTTGGACCAAAACTCAAAAAAAGTTTGAACTCAAGTTACAATTTTATTCAAGTTCATGTTCGTTTGTAAAATTTGAGTTTAAAGTTGAGTTTTAACTTGAGTTTGGGGCTAAAATCTGAGTTTAAGTTTCTCCTTCAACTCATGTTCTTAAATTCAAATTCAAGTTAATGAACAATATTTTTTCTATTCTTAAAAACGTTATAACTTTTTCGTTTTAATTTCACTTGAGATGATTTTTTTTCTATGCGTTCACAATGAAGAGACGAATAAAACCTCACCCATATATCCTATTAAAATTTTTCATCACCATTGAATTTTTATTAAAATAATATTTAAATACAAATTCAAGTTTTGACCCACGCAAACACAAATTCAAATAGATTCTCAATTCAAATCATAACTTAAATGTGTACATCCAAACGCAAACTCAAGTTACAACTTTAACTCAAATTATAACTCAAATTCAACTCAAGATCTACACTCAAGTCACCATAACTCAAAAATGCAACTGAACAAGCCTTAACTTGGAAATTTGTGGTTTTAGTATGAATTTTTCTCGAGTTTGTTTATGTTTTAACAGTTCATTTGCACTCAAACTCAAAAAAAGTTTGAACCTAAGTTACAACTTTATTTAAGTTCATGTTTTTTTTATAAAATTTAAGTTTGAACTTGAGTTTTAACTTGAGTTTGGGGCTAAAATCTGAGTTCAAGTTCCTCCTTCAACTCAAGTTTTTAAACTCAAACTCAAATTAATGAACAATATTTTTTTTATTCTTAAAAATGTCATAACTTTTTCATTTTAATTCTGATTGAGATGATTTTTTATGCGTTCACAACGAAGAGACGAATAAAACCCCATTCATATACCATATTAAAATTTTCCATCACTATTGAGTTTTTATTTAAATACTATCCAAATACAAATTCAAGTTTTGACCCACCTAAACACAAACTCAAATAGATTCTCAATTCAAACCATAACTCAAAATGTGCACATCCAAACACAAACTCAAATTAGAGTCTCAACTCAAACCATACTCAAATACACCTTAATTAAATCAAGATCTGAATTCAAATCACCCTAACTCAAAAAATGCAAATGAACAAGCCCTAAATGTCCTGGAAAGGAGAACCTCTATCTTTGAGGATACATTCTTTTATAATGGGTGAAAACCACTCTAAGTTGTGGTTACTGGTTCATTACATCATCGAAGTCAAATTTTTTAATATAATTTTCCTTGAATAATTAATTGGTAATGCTAAATGACTTCTTACTTCAGGTTCATCGAAAAATACGGTACTCATATTGTTGTTGGGGTAAAGATGGGAGGCAAAGATGTAGTTCACCTAAAGCAGTTACAAAATTCACAACTTCTGCCGAATGAAGTGCAGAACTTGTTAAAGCAATTAGCCGATGAGAGATTCTCTAAAGATGTAAATACAAGTTCAGTTTCCGACCTAACCGAATCATCAGGAAAAACAAAGGTAAACAGATAACTTAAAATCACAAACAAATTGTAATACTCTTTGTCCTCATACAGTACACCACAATGTTAGTTACGAGGATGAAGGAAAAGAAAAGTATCTGATGACTGTCTTTAGAAACTTTGGTTCCTATTTTATTATGACGCCTGTTATGATCAAGTCCTGTCCTATTTTAAAATTTATGTTTGTCATTTCAGAAAGAGCACTCTATGCCATTGGATGTCCATAATGCATTGGCTGTGCCAATTAGGCCGCCTGTCACTTACTCTTTTAAAAATGTAAGTCTTTGGAGTCGTTTGTGATATTCTTTCACAGACTCCAGTTGATCTTATACAGTTTATGTTGAATGGATTAAGGCTTATAATATTTACTCAACTCTATGCAGGATATATTAGGCATTTGTATCCGAAGCGGTGGCATTGACATTGGTCAAAGCCATAACGCATGGCTTTCAACTGTATCACAGTCGCCTAATGTTGTATCAATGTCCTTTGTGCCAATAACTTCGCTCTTAGGTGGGGTCCAAGGAAATGGATTTCTAAGCCACGCAGTGAATCTATACCTTAGATGTAAGTTTTCAATCTCTTTCTTTCTGCTCTGCACTCTACTGCTAAAATCCAAGAGAGAATTGCCTTTCCCAATTAATCCAAAGTACTGTCCAATTTTTAGCTGCAATTTGCCTGTTGGATCACCCTATAGTGTCAAGATGTCTGCTTTATTGAAGTATGACTGTTTAGTGTACCAAGTATGGTGCAACCTTCATTCCACAAAGAAGTAAATAGCATATTTATTTGTGCACATTCTCTGATATACTTTATCCATATGGTCTCGTACATGGAACCTGATGTTAGAGGAAATTGCATATATATATATATATACTTTTTTTTGCGTATTTCTTTATTTGTTGGTTGTATTTCTATAAATAGATAAAATTATATCAATACAAAACGTTTAAGAGTTCCGCTGGGAAATGTTAATGTCTCTAAGGTTTATTTATTTCGATGTTTGAATGCATTTTGCAGATAAACCGCCCATAGAAGAACTCCATCAGTTCTTGGAGTTTCAACTACCGCGGCAATGGGCTCCAGTGTACGGGGATTTTCCTCTCAGTCTTAGGCACAGAAAACATTCGTCCCCGTCGCTTCAGTTCACTTTTATGGGCCCTAAGCTTTATGTTAACACCATGAAGGTAATGTGTCTTGATGCAGCACACCAAGATAGACCAAAATTCTTATTGCACCCTATTCGAAAGATCACTCAAATTATTCTTGATTTCTTCCAAAAGCTCGTGTGATTTGCTGATTCTATGATGAGTTAATTGTGTATTTGAGTCGATAAATTCGGCCATTTGCTTGATAAACCTTCATCTAAAAGTGCAATAAGATTGTGTTTGTGTAAAGAATTTCATTATTCTTATGGATTAGCCGTCCTTAATAGACATTGGACTTTAGCGATTCTATCAATTCAAGCGTCAGATAATTGTAATTGTAATTCAGTCAGTATTCAGTTCGTAATTTAATAAATTTAGTTAATAAGGCATGCCAGTTTTCACAAAGTAATTTATTGTGCGTTTGGTTGGTGGATTCGTACCATGGTTCGGATTATGATTCGTGGCTCGCTATAGTGTTTTCTCTTACAAAAAACACACATAAATCGAGAATGGTTCTGAATTTATGAACTAAACGTCCACTAATACTTTAGAACAACTTTTCTTGTTTCTGTGTACTTGTAACATATTGTGAAATCAGCACTCCATTACGTTCCTAATTACGTTCTGGTTTCTAATTCAATAACTTTCAGGTTGACTCAGGAAGCCGACCAGTAACAGGACTCCGCCTATATCTAGAAGGCAAAAAAAGCAATCTACTGGCAATCCATCTCCAGCATCTTTCTACTCTTCCCGAAAACCTTCAAATCACAGAGGATCATGGTTATGATCCCCTTGACGTTCCAGTGGAACGGGGCTACATCGAACCAGTCAAGTGGAGCATATTTTCGCATGTGTGCACAGCCCCGGTGCAGTGCAGTGGTGCCTGCATTGATGATCCTGCTTCCATTGTGACAAAGGCCTGGTTTGAAGTTAAAGTTATTGGAATAAGGAAAGTTTTATTCTTGAGGCTTGGATTTTCGACTGTGGCATCTGCCAAGATCCGGAGATCGGAATGGGAAGGAACTTCAAACACATCTCAGAGATCAGGTTTTCTCTCGGTATTGATCAGCACAAGGTTTAGTGCTGGATTAAATCAATCTGAGAGGCCAGCAAAAGTGGATTTGAATTCAGCCATCTATCCCGGGGGTCCACCTTTGCCTCCAAGGGCCCCAAAAATGGCAAGCTTCATAGATACCAAGGAAATGGTGAGAGGTCCAGAGGACCCGCCCGGATATTGGGTGGTCACAGGAGCAAAGCTCTGTGTTGAGAGTGGCAGAATTTCTATCAAAGTGAAATATTCATTGCTGACCATAATGTCAGAGGACTCTATGCTGTTTATGTAGGAGAAAAATGAACAAAGTAAACCACACGGAGTAGAAGTTACGAGTTTTATTTTGTTCTATTTTTTATTGAATCATGTACATTCACTAGTAAAATTTGTTTTAGAAAGAGAGATTGGCACGACGGTGTTATGGTGTGGCAATTTTGATTGAGCATACTGACTTGTGGGAACTTACAACTCGACGAGCTATCTAGGCAGTGTGTGTGTGTGTATTCCTTTTTTAGTGGAATAGATGAAAACCTCCCATTAAAGCAAATTGAGACGAAAGGAAGATTGTTTACCATTTTGTGGAGAGAAATATCAATGGTGGCGAAGTCGGGAAGACTGTTTCCTTAACCAAGATTTCCTTTACAGATATTTTTCGTTGTTGGTTATCCTCTGAAAATTACAGAGCCAAGTTAGATACCATAATTTCCTGCTTAATTAAATTGAGGGAGAGCGTGTTCTCAATAAAAGATTACAAAAACAAAATAAAAAAAAGACAGATATTATTTGAAAGAAAAATTTCCTCAATTTATCAAGCAATGTACCTTAAATGAAATACAAAATTTTGGCCTTAAGTTGAGTACATGTCCCATCACTAAAGGGGTGGGTGTAACGGTTAGAATGCTTTTTTCCTCCTATCAGAGTGTCTATAGCCTCATTTTAAGTCCCTGCCTGATTAATAGACAGTGCCAAATGAGCTTGTGGTCTGATGGAAGTGAAACTGAGCTCCTTTTTTGAATAGAATTGAAGCAGGTCCTTTCCATTCTATTTGGTGGGCCCCTGAATTTTAGCTATAGACAAAGAGGATAGAGGATGAGATAATACCAATGATCCTCTACCAGATCCCCTTTTTATTCAGCTAAAAAAGAATTGGGTGTATGTCCTTAATAGGTAATCAAATGCCTCTAGTTTCCATAGGAGAGATAAAGCTTGCATAGAGATGGTGTTTACTAACTGCAAGTGTGGAATCATCCCGGCAAATTCTGGGATAGATCATCTCCACAAATCTCACCAATAATCTCCACAAGAACATGAGCCATCTTTAAAATGGTGGAATCTGTTGATATCTCTCACAATTATCTCCCTTGAAACAACTTTACAAATGAACTTGAACGCAGTATGGCAATCCAGGCAAATTCGTAGGTTCTTCTTCACCCTTATAGGAGATCCTGGTGGAGTGGCAATCAACCCGAAAGCAACTGCAAGCTTCTCACTGTGGTGCAATAGAAGCTTCTCTTTTTCACTTCTTTCCACATCATGGAGAACAATCTCCACCAGGGGAACATAGCCAGCTTTACTCATGAGGTCACTCAGCTCATCGAGTTTTGCGTATATTTCCTTGCTTCTTGAATGGCTATTATTTCCTGCAATAAAAGTATGAACCTTGTCCTTGACCTCAATCCAACTGATTCCAGGTTCCTTCTTCACTTTACTAGATTTCATGAGTCTTCTCACGTTTGCCACATTCTCCCATAGGCCAGCTGATGCATAAATGTTAGCAAGCAGAACAAGGGTGCCGGATTTATCAGGCTCGAGAGCCAAGAGCATTTCGGCAGCACGTCGACCAAGCTCAACATTTTTATGAATTCTCGCGGCACCAAGAAGTGCTCCCCAGACTGATCCATTCGCTTCAAATGGCATTGTATTCACAAGCTCCATTGCCTCGTTCAACTTCCCTGCTCGGCCGAGGAGATCGATCATGCAAGCATAATGCTTTTGCATTGGTTCAATCCCATACAACACTTTCATTGATTCAAAGTGTTTCCTCGCTTCAATTACCAGACCCGCATGATTACATGCATAGAGGACACTGACTAAAGTTATATGGTTTGGCTGAACACCATCTTTAAGCATCTGATTGAAAAATTGTAGGGCCTCTTCTGCATGCCCATGTTGAGCAAAACCTCCTATCATTGCAGACCATGAGACTACTCCCCTCTCCGGTATCTCTAAGAAAGAATGTCCAGCGTCATCTATGCTTCCACATTTTGCATACATGTTGACGAGAGAATTCCCGGCAAATATGTCAGACATGAATCCAAACTTTAGAATGAGAACGTGGATCTGTTTCCCTTGTTCATATGCCGACAGATTCGCACAAGCATTCAGAAGAGAACTGCAAATAAATGAATCAGGCTTGATCCCCCTGTCTTGCATTTGCAAATATAGCTTTAAAGCTTCTTCACCTTGACCATATTGGGCATAAGCTGTGATCATTGATGTGAAAGCCACTAAATCTCCAATTGGGCATTCTTTGAAAATTTGTTCGGCGTCTTCAACTTGGCTACATTTTGCGTATGTGTCAAGAAGGCTGTTTATAACATAAATGTCAGATTTGAGACCCGATCTCACAGAAACCGAATGAACTTGTTTGCAAACTTTGATCGCTTGCAAAGTAGCTGTGGATTTTAGGACTGCAGACAAAGTAGTATGGTTGAAACCTATCCCCTCCTTGTACATGTCAGCAAAAGTCCATACAGCTTCCATATCCTCACCGTTCTGTGAATGCCCCGAAATTATAGCATTCCATGCAATCAATTCCTTCTTTGGCATCAAGGAGTGAACTCTCCTCGCATATTTCATCATCTCAGACTTAGAATACATATCAATCAGTCCAACATCTACAAACACATCTGATTTTGTATCCATCTTTATCAATCTAGAATGTAACTGCCGACCCAATTGCTTGAGCCCCAATTCAGCACAAGCTTTAAGAGCACTTGAAAACGTAAACATATTCGGGCAAACCCCACACGTGTTCATCTCCCTAATCAATTTTAAAGCCCGTGCATTGTCCTCATGATGAACACAACCAGCTAGTATAGCATTCCAGCAGACAATATCGGGTTGCAAAATTTCTTGAAAAGCAGAAACCGCGTCTTTAAGAACTCCTTGTTTTGCATACATGTCAACTAGTGCATTTGCCGAGAATGGATCTGATTCGTATCCAAGCTTTATCAGAAAACCATGGAGTTTCCTTCCTTTACTAACATCAACAACACCTGCACAGGCATTTATTATAGTAGAAAAACTAAACTCATTGGGTCTTATTCCACTCTTAATCATTTCCATGAACAAATCAACAGCCTCTCCACAACACTCTCTCTGCACGTAACAGGAAAATAGAGCATTCCATGAAACAACATCACGTTCCTGAATCGCATCAAAAAGCCTCCTCGACTCCTCAAACTCCCCACATTTTGCATACATAACAACCAAAGTGTTTGCTACAAACACATCCGCCTCAAACCCCGTTACCACCGTAACCCCATGAAACTGCTTCCCCACGTTCAAATCCTTCGTAATCGAGCATGCCTTTAGAACGCTCGGAAATGTGAACTCATTAGACTTAACACCCAACAACCGCATATCACAAAACTTCGAAAGCGCTTCATCAGCAAGCCCATTTTGGACATACCCAGATATCAAAGCAGACCAAGAGACTGAATCTGGTTCAGGACTTTCCTCAACCAGTTTGCGTGCATATCCGAAGCGACGACACTTTGAGTAGAAACTGATCAAATGGTTCCTCAGAATTGGGTCTTCGGAGAACCCGAATCTGATAATGTGGGCATGGATTTCCGTGCCGGGACCTATGGCCTTGGAAGCGGTGCATTGTGTCAAGAGCTTAGAGTAGAAAATGGAGGTGGGGGGTCTCAGCAAAGGAGTGGTCTGTGGGTCTCTGCTGTAGAATCTAGTCGAGGTTTGGACAAGTTTAGCAGGAAATGGAAAATGGGTTGAGAACGTTGGGGTTTTAAATGGTCGGTAAAGTCGTTTAGAGCGTCTTGGAGGGAATGGAACTGGAAAAGCTTCATCACCCATTGGATTATGATCATGGACGGTCTTCGAGTTTTGTACAAGGCCTAGTTAGAAGGATCCAAGCCGTTCAATTAACAAATACCGATATTTCCCAGAGCAAAAAAAAAAAAAAAAAAAAAAAAAAAAAAAAAAAAAAAAAAACAAGAAAACAAAAAACAAATACGGATATTTACTATTTTATGCTTTGTATTTTGAGTTTATAGAAAAAGAATAACATAGGCGTGTTTGAAATTATTTTCAATTTATTTTTAAAAACATTTTTGCATGTTTTTTACTTTACAAAGTGAAAACAGTCTTTAAATCGCGTTTGTTTAATAAATATTTTAAAAATTAAACAAAAACAAAAAGCATTAAGAATGATTTTTATGAAAGAAAAAAAACGATTAAAATTTATTTTTCCTTCTCCGTTTTCATTTTCAAGTACTTATATTAAATAATTAATAATTAATTATCAATTATATTATATTAAATAATAATTAATAAATAGTTAATAATTATTTAATTTTTAATTTTTTATTATTAAAATTTTAATTTATTAATAAAAATAAATAATAATAGTAACTAATTATTTAGTTTAAGATTAATTGACAAAAACTGATTATATAATATATTAATAAAGGTATAATTAATAATTAATAATTTATTATTAAATAAATAATTAATAACTATATAACAATCACATAATATATTGACTATAATTTATTAATTTGTAACTAGTTGATAAATAATAAATAAATAGTAATTAGTCAATTAATAATTAATAATTAATGTCAAATTATAATTAGTTATTGTGTAATATACTAATCAATAATAATTAAGAATTGATAATTAGTAATTAATTATCATTTAAAGAATAATTATCAAAAATTGGTCAGGTAATATATAAAATAATAGGTTATTAATTAAAATTAGTAATTAATTAACTCATTATTTAATTATATAATTAAAAGTTAATTATTTAATTAGTAAATAGAATACTAATAATTTATTAATATATTTATTATTTTCTATTAATACACTAATTAATTACTTATAAACTAATAATTTTGAGTACATTACTACCAAAATAGTTAATTATAATTGATTATTAATTATTGGTAGTTTTTGGAAATACAATAGCGGTTTTTGGAAAAAGATTAAAGATTTTCTCTGATAGTACTAGAAAAATGAATTATTAGTAGTTTTCTATTTTTCGATTGTCAGATATGCATAATAAATTGTCTATTTTATATATTTTTTTAATTTTATGTGATTTGAATTAGATCTAACGGTCAGAAATATCAATAGGCGGGCTAATACAGAGAATGTCCTAAAATATTATATGAAAAGGGTGATCAGATTTTTGTCTTATCTAAAATAAATATGAAAAAGTAACCTTGATTTTACTAGTAGGCCATCTTCTTCCTTGATAATTAGTTGGCCATCTTTTAGGTTAATATTTTAGTAGGTGATTCACTTCAGTAATAATGTGGCGGCAATAGGCATATATAATTGTTTATTTAATCTTTTTCTTTTATTTTCCATATTTTAGTAACAAATTTTTTTCTTAAAAAAAGAAATTGTTTTCATCGTGAAATTTAGAGTCGACTTTATCATGCAATAGAATTATGAGGTATAACGTGATATTTATTTTCTTTTGATGACATTAAAACAATCTAACAATAGCTCCTGCAATAAATAAGTAGGGTTAATTAAATATATAATGATTTTAGGAGTACTTAAGTAGAGGTAGAATATATGATTTTCTCTTAAACAGATGATTTATTACGAGAGACCTCAGGCCCGGCTACTGGCTAGCTAATTGTTATGCATATGCATAAATTCCATGTCATGTACAGAGATATATAATTTCATAGCTTTATATACGCATAACGCATGCCTATCTATATTATCTTTTGTTTGCTTTGTTTTTTTGTTTTTTGTTTTTTGTTTTTTTAAAAGTTGGCCTTTCTATATTGTCTAATATGTTAGAACAATATTGGCGTTGTAGCCTCGCGGAATTAGGAGTTTTCCACTGAATCGGACGGAGAAAGGACGAGATGTCCCAATTCCCCTGAGTGCGGTGCATAGCCAAAAGCAACAAAAACCAGAAATGCTCAGAGCGAAATTTGGATATTCTATAGCCCACCCAAAAGGGAAAGCTTAACTTGCCTTAAAATGCTACAACAAGAAACGACAGAGAAACGACAGATACAACTCTTAACAAGGAAACGACAGCAAAGTCAACTAAATAACAATAATAATAAAAGCCCGAGCCCCCAAGGCGAATCTGACACCGGTGGTCAAGTCCCGGTCGGTCAGGCGGGGGCTGAGGTAGGCCGGCAAGGCGTCCTTGATGCCGAGGTCGGAGACCAAGTAGTCAGTTGCGAGCTTTACTTTGGAAAACCTGCCTGTGGGAACGTGGCCGGGGAAGTCACGGCCGTACGGAGGGTGGTCCGCGTGGAAGATCGTCGCGAGGCCGTTGTTGTTGCCGGAGTCAATGGTGGATTCTCCGAAGGCGAAGACGGCGGGGATTGACAATCCTTGTTTAAGCATGCATTTTTAAGATAGGGAGTGTCGTGCACGGTGCATCCTTGTCATTTGTATTAGTTTTGTTTTATTTTTGTGTCGTTTATCATGTTGTTCGTTTCCAGTTCATTGTCTTTTAATATATATAAATAAAATAAAGAAAAAGTGTAAAAACTATTATTTTATAATAGTCATTTTTTTATTATTGAACTCCTTAATTATAGCTATTATTTTATTAAAATATATCAACTTAAACCAGTTTAAACAGAAGGGACAATATTAAATAAAGGGGACAATATTAATTTCACTTTAAATTTTAAAGATCAACTTTAGAAAAATTTCATAAATTTAAGTGGGGTTTATCATATGTGTCATTGTTTAATATTTTATTATAGTACGTATTTCAAAAAAAAAAAAACAAAGAATCAACTTGTTGGCTGTGTTTGGATTTTGTTTTGTTTTTATTTTTCACGTTTTTAGAGAAAGAAAAAAATAAAAATGAGAGAAAAACGGTGTTTGGTGCAATTAAAGATAAAAAACGAAAATGAAAACGATTTTTTAATTTAGTATAAAATGGGAGAGAAATGAAAAATGACTTTTAGTCGTTTTTCATTTTTTGTTTCCGTTTTCTCCTCTCTCGAGCATAGAGAAAGAGAGACATTACTACATTTTTTTATACTAAAAAAAATCTCGTAATAAAATTACCAAACGCATTTTTAAAAATAATTTATATTTGAGATTGAAAACATTTTCATTTCTATTTTTATACAAAAAATAAAATCATTTTGAAACGAGTTTCAAATGCACCCGTTGTCTTCTTTAATTTCAGTCCTTTTACTTCTTGGTCGTTTTTTTATTTTTCTTGTTCCTTCATGTTGATCTCATTAATGATTTTGTGTCTTTTTTTTTAACATTTCCTTTTATTTTCTTATGTTTATTCCATTAGTTGTCATTTTTTTTAACTTTAATGACGTTTTCCTTTTTTTTCCCCCTTACGTTAATGTTGTTTAAGATTCCCGTTTAGTTCGCTGATTCGAGTTTTTAATTTGAGTTGAGATGTGACTTTATGTGAGAGCTTTTTACTGTAGCAAAAAAGTTAAATGTGATAGTTTGTGAGAGTTTTTTACTGTAGAAAAATTCGAATTCTAAACTCGAATCAGCGAAATAAACGGAGCCAATTGTTTTACTTTCTTATCACTCATTGGAGGCGTCGTTTTTGGTTTTATTCTTGTTCAGTTTTGGTTTTCTTGTCGTTCGTTGAATTACTTTAAATTTTTATAAGAAAAAACATTATAGGTAAAAGGCTTGAATTACAGTTTAAACTGCGAACCGAATGTTGCTTAAGTCTTGCATTCATCTAGTTGTCCTCTTTGGCTGCCGACCTTAATGATTAAAATGGAATTCTTTGTAGGGAAAAAAGATTGGCGAAGATGGTAATTGCGTGGGGATACATTAATTTGTGGATAAAAAACGCACACACATGGCTAATTTCAGAGGGTATTTTAGTAAATAGCAATTATCTTTAATATTCATGGAAAAACTATCAAAATAACAAAATAAAAAAAAAACCTTAAGAAATTAGATAGTTCACAATTGCTTTGAATTTCCCTTTGTTTGCTAAAAACATAATAACATTTTCTCTTCTATAATATCGACACATGTCATGTTTTGGTAAGATTGTAGAGTCTCGTCTTTTTTTCTTTTTTTCTTTTTACATGAATTTGAGATATGTCAGACAAACTTTGAGAAAATATTGTTAACTTTAAAAAAAAAAAAGTAAAAAGTAAAAATCAGTAATCCATGTATGTGTACTTTTATATTTTTCATTTTGCCAACATTTTACTAACTAAATAATATAATTTTATCACCGGGCTTGCTTGTACACTTTTTTATAGATTAACATGTGATGATAATAATATTGCTTAGAACAAAATGAAATCCGTGTATGAACCTTATATAAGACTTCCTTTTAATATTAAGATTTCTATCTTATTTGTATAAAGTTTCTACTTATGCATTTTTTACATTTTCATCATATCCTAAAATGTTAAAAAGGAGACATCAAGTTCTAAAAAAAGATGTTTGTAATTTTCATATATATTTTTTTATATTTCTACCTACATCGTTATTTTCCTTTTTATTTCAAAAAAAAAAAAAATCTGGAGTACCCATATTTTTCATCCATGGTGGTGAAACCTTTTTTGGCCAAAAACAAAAAGGAGCATCCTATAAAGTTCTTTTTGCTCAGAAGTATGAAACCATTCACAGCTCTTACACTCTCGAAGATTCATATTGTGAACGAAGATGGCCTCAAAATTACAAGTGAAAATCCACATGTAATTAGGACACGTTTAGTTTGTTCATTCGAGATTTTTAATTTGAATTAAAATGTAATTTTATGTGAAAATTTTTTACTGTAATAAAAAAATTAAATGTGATTGTTTCTGAGAGCTTTTTACTGTAATAAAATTTAAATCGATAAAATAAA